AATTAACACCAAACTATACTGTTTTCATTGCGCTGTGCAGATGAAATGACAAGCTGTCGTTTAAGAAGTTAATAAACAGTCTCCGATTTGCAGGTTATCCAAATGCTGCTGAATAGCAAACCTTGGATCACTAAATGGTGTGTAATTAAAATTATTTTTAAAATCCTCCTTGACAGGCCGGGGCTTAGCCAAAATGTAAATGACATTAAAGAAGACAATGAATTTAATTTTATTTAATGTCCCTTTTTGCAGATCCTCATTTACATAGCATTTTTAACAAAAGCGTTGACCTTATAAACGCTGGCATTTGTACAGCTCCCTCGGAGTTGGATTTAATCACGGCCGTGCAAAGCCATGAGGGAGGAAGCTTTAAGTTCTGTGCCTGGAGATGGAGCAGGAATAAAAACATTGGGACTGGTCAAATGTTTATCCTCCCCGCTTCGGAAAACAACCTGACAAGAAGATGTAGGGGCTGGGGAATAAGCCGGTGCTGTTTGTAAGGCTGGGTAATAATCATACATAATCGTTTGGAAATATAGCTAATAAAAAATATAATGAGTGTTCAGCAAAATCGGCATTAGGCCCAAATTACACGATATTAATACTTGAACAGGTGCAGAAAGGCGCTTTAAATGAGGTAAATGAATAAAATGTCCCAGAGCACAACTGTGTGTGCTGACAAAAAGTCAATGCCATGAATAATTCAGCGAGGAGGACTGCCAGCAAAGGTCGGCTCTCTTTGACCTTTGTGACAGGAAGTGAAAGGAAACACTGTTGACTGAAAGAAAGAAAGAAAGAAAGAAAGAAAGAAAGAAAGAAAGAAAGAAAGAAAGAAAGAAAGAAAGGGAGAGAGAGAATCTCCGATTGGTCTCCAGCTACTGCTACCATTCTGCAGTTACTTTAAAGGTGTAAACTTAAAACTCACAAATGAATCAGAGTGAGGCTTTGGGGGGGCAGGGGGGACAGAGTTAAAACGGTTGGTAGTGAGGGCATCCGACTAAAGACGATGTGGGATCGCAGACAATGAAAGGTTAAGTAAATAATATTTTTCTACAACCCAATGTCAATTATGTATAAAAATCTGAGGTCAGCTGAAAAGTATTTTCGGAGCCCACAGGGTTGAAATTTTGTAACAGCTGTTAAATATGACAAAACTTTCCTCCCCACTCCCCCCCCAACTAAAGCTATTCCAAACTCTGTATGAAAGAAAATGGAGTAAACAGATGTCTGGCTTGCAGACAGGAAAGTAGGACAGACTTGGAATGATAAGTCTCCCAAACTCCATAGCCCGGTGCCAGGTTTATTGGGGAGGGGGCACTGCCGGCCGCAGAGATGCCAGCGAGGCCGACGCCTGAGACGGTGCCATCTGGAACTGCCCCGCCGAGCACGCTGCCGGCGCTGCACCCAGCACAGTGTGTGACCCGGCCCGTTTGGACGGCCACAGCGCGCGCCGCCCGCCGCCCCCACCGTCGGCCCTCCCAGTTTTGACAACTGGACCCTGAACGTCCGGTCTGCTGAGGCCGAGCGGGGACCCGGGAGGTTAGAGCGGGCGCCCCCGGGCACCTCCACAGAGCCCGAGGCAGCTCTGCGATGGCACGGGAGGAGGACGGTGGCCAAAGTGTGGTTTTGGTTTAGCAGCTACACCGACATCCTGTAATCATTTACAGCCCTTGGAATGTAAGGGTGAAACAGGAGAGATTTATCTGCTCACAGCCGGGATGTGTGGACAATGGGTGTCCCTAACGAAGACCATCTGCTTTTGTGTTTTCCCAGAAAACGATACCCCATCCTTTTCAGCAGTACCGTAAAACCCTGCGCGCGTGTGCGCGCGCACACACGCACACACACATGCGTGGGTCTGCGTGCACGGGTGCACACGCGTGCCCCTTCCCCCCGCAGGTCCCTGCCATCTACCATCCGTGCCTCTCCTGCGGCACCCTCACCCACCGGGCTTTTTACTTTCCAACGTTCTGTTGCTCCTGTACCCCAGAAGTTGTTATGTTATTTTAAATGCACCGTAGTATAATTATATTTGTGGAGCTATAAAAACATGGTTTCTCTGGCGTTGTTTTACGAGGAAGAAAACAGTTAGGGTAAGTGAAACCTTCACAATCAAAGGGTCTCGAAATGCAAAAGACCTTCTTTCCCCACCTTTTTTACTCTGAAGGGTCTTCTATGCTGTTCCTAAGTATTTAATGCTTCTGAAAGATAACTGAACTAAATCGTGTAATTAATTGATTGAAGGCGTCAGAGTCTATAGAATGGGATTCGCCTGCCAGAGCAGGGAGCTGGCTTCTCTGTCCTCAGAGAGGGGAGAGGCAGTCTCGGCTTGCCGGAAGAGCCTCGGAGTGGCTTAGAACAAACGTGGGCCCATTGATCTCAATTCAGGTTGGAATTATTGGTTTATATCCTCAGGACAAATATGCCTTATCTGGTCAGAACCTGCTAAATGTATCCGAAGGCCACAAGGAGCTGGCGAAGCACGTTGTATGTAATTCTTTTTTAAGCCAGCTAACCCAGTGGTGACAGCGCGGATGGGGACCTGTGGGCTGACTCGCCGGCCCGGTGGGGTATGTTACTCTGCGGTACTGGCGAGGAAACACGGGCTAGAAACGCGACATGAGCAACTCATTTTGGGAGGCCACACACGCCCCACAGAAATGACTGTCATTGTGAAACTGAAACGCATCTCGGTTGCAAAAGCCTGCATCGTCCTAAAGACGCCCCCTCCTGCGGGCATTTTTCTTTCCCCGATTAGCACAACTTGCCTGGGTGAGCAGCAAAGTCTTCATTTTCCCCCTGCAAATATGCCTCAAACTGAAGATTGTGCCCGTACTGCAATCATTACACAAGGATTTACATCAAGCAACAAAATGCAAATAGTATTTTGTCATCGTGAGTGACAGCTCTCTTAAGAATGGTAAAAATGTACATTCTATGTGTCATTACATAAAACTAACCTTACCTTAACATCCCTAACATGGAAGGTGATTAAAATTCCCATAAAATTGTCATATCTTTGAATTTAGAAGCAGAGCAGATTTTTCATCAATAATTAAGACCTCCAAAGCATTTATGCCAGGCACAAATGGAGCCGCAATCCCCCTTATTCAAATAAACTTGGTAAACCCATTAACCAAATGTTTTTTACATTTTCCCCTCCTCTCATGCTTCTAGAATACCGAATGATCGCAAACTTCTCTTAGGCTAGAGAGAGATCAGTCACCTTAGCACATATTTCAATTCACCCAATGTAAGAGCGCATCCACTCAGACCAGAGTTAAAGAATACACCCCCGCCTCTCCAGGGGAGGTCCCCCCATCGTGTGACAAACACTGAGGAGTAAGGGTTTGTCAGTATCAACGGTCAATAAATGATTGAATGTTACACAAACCTAAAGTGATTTTGAAGGGAAAACACAGCATCCAAAACGTGAGTGGACCCAACAAGGCTGCTTCGTTATCGTGCCATGCTGAAAACCTCGCGATTTAAAAAGTCACCTTTTCCAAACGTGTACGTATCACAAACTGAAGACAACTCAAAAGATGAAACACTTCACAATCCTGTATGACGAGCAAACACGCACGGCCTTTTCAAGCATCTGACACGAGATTCCCAGAGCTGCCCAAACACTTTTAGCCAATCAGGAAAATAAAACACATTCGGTGACAAGACAACAATCCGAGGCTGGATGATTTCCATAGCCCCGGCGCCAAAGACAAACATAATTATATTGATTTTCGTAGTTCGAGTTCTATAAAGTGTTGAACTAGTTCTCAACGGCCTGAGTGACGGCCACAACTGGTCAACCCTATTTGATTACTAATAAGAGAGCTGTCCTCCTGTCAGATACCGAGCATTCTCCACTAAGCAAACAGCTATTCCGGCTAGTTAAACATCAGCATTGCTCTCCACTGGTGGCGCATATTTCTTACGGCTTAACTCGTAGAGTTTTCCGGGTTTAATTTTTCAGACACTGGACAGCAAAGTTCACGATCAAAAGATAACTTTGTAATGAAAGCTGCTGAAATTCAACCCCTCTTCAAAACAGTCTAAAACCTCTGCTTCACAAAACTGGTGTCATATGAACACGTCTAACATTTATTCGATTTGGGTACCAATTTCGAATCTGCAGTCAATCACGCCCTGGGCCTTTGGCTGTCGTTACCCATTGTTGGGAAGAATGAAACCCTCCCCTCCTCCAGGTCACCAAAACCCAGCGGGTCGGGCGAGTGTCCTGAGAGCGGTGGCTGGTGTTTTCGCTGCTGCAACCAAAGCAATGCCAAGTGCACGGGAACATTATCAGGACTGATGATTAGGAGCTTAAAAGGATGCAGCGTGGCCCAAGGAAAATGACAAACAGCAAGATGAAGAGCAGCAGACGTAAAGAATGCATACGGCTCGTCTGGTTACGGAAATTAATGTTGGAAAATGGAACCAGCATGTGTAATTAGTTTCAATTATAACAACTTTGGTTTGTTAGTTACATATTTGCTACTTGACATAAAACGACAGCCACAATTGGAAAAAAATTAGGAGACATTTTGCAACTAATTTAGGGCAGATTAAATTCATTCTAACTCTGGGCAACAATTACACCAGCAGCACCACCCAAGTCTCAACTTCAGCCATCATCCGAGATAAAAATAATGCAAAAATGAAACACTTGTTAACAAATTAGCAAAAAGCATTTTATGACATATCTCCGGGTTTAAAGCCAGAAGCTCTCTAGGCATAAAGTGCTCCTCACAGTGAGAGCCGTGGCAGATGAAACTGCTTCCCTTGACAACTCGCAAGCAATTACTGAATCCCCACAGAGCGAGCCACCGGGTTCCGAGTCAGCCCACCTGTGCATGATCACACACGCGGACAACAAATGGCACGCACGAGATGAGCTCAGGCCCACACTCAGAACTACGGAGCCCCCGGAAAGCCAGCCAGGCGACGGGTCTGGTGGCTGCTGCGGTCTGGCTTTGCAAAGATAAAGCGGTCACCCTTACCTGTCAATGATCACAGGGTCTGAGGGCGTCTCGTTTCGGTTTCCACAGCTCTTCTTGTCGCAGCACCGGCTGTGGGGTAACCGTAAACAGCGGCTTTAATATGCGTTTCATCCTTTGGTGCCCGACTTGTCATTTTTTTTTTTTTTTTTGGTAAGTCTGACAGTAAAGCGGCTGCAGTCAAGAAAATAAGTCATCCTACCGAGGCGGTCTGGCACACTGAAACGCAGCGAGTTCACGTGCTCCGCGGCTAAACTTACGCTGTAACTTTCTACCGGAAGGAGCGAAGTTGAACAGTATCTGTTCCTGGTGGGAGGGCAACAGAGCTGCCATCTAAATTGTGATGGTAAAATATGGAAAATATGTTGTCGGTGTTTGTCTTTGCAGTGAACTGAGGAGAAGGGGAGGCAGGAGGCTTGGGAATAACTTTTCACAGCTTCAGCTTTTGTTTACCTCTAATTGTCAAGCTGTTATTTCTGGAAAAGATGCAAGATGCCACCTTCAACCAATATTTCTTTTGGGCATTTATTAATTAGAACCACAAAAGCATGCATCCATCTATCAGAAACTTCTATTGTTCCTTCTTTAAGCCTACCTTAACTCCGTTATTGAAACTTTAATTAAAGCAGAAATGAAACAAAAATGTTATGCTTCTTGCATTTTAAAAAAGCATACTTGTATAATGGTTACATGTCTAAATTAGCTAAATTAACACCATATGGTAGGCAAAGTATATAAAGCCTTTTAAAGCTGACAGCTAAAGTGATTAAAGAAAGTCTACAGTCTCCCACTTAGAGCTTAAATCACATCTGTGCGCCTTCTATGTTAATTGCAGTACATGCAGAAGTGGATAATAAAGAAATTCCACTTTATTGGTTGTAATTTATATTTATTACCTGATATGAGAAAAAGTCAGCTTTTGTATATTAGCGCTGTAACAATATGTCTGCTCAGAAATGGCATTTAGGCAACCAGCATCGTAGCCGGGCGGAGTATGCCCCTCAGAGTCGGCGGCCCGCTACTGTAGCCTGCGAGCCTGCAAAGCAGGTCCTTATGATTCCTCCCAACGATATTTCCATGCCGCACATACAAAGTCAATGATGCATTTTTATTTGCCATGTAGGGGTGAAACTCTTGTGGTACTTAGGAAAAAAACAGGTGGGAAATGGCTCTTCTGACGGAGAGCTCCGGGAACACGCACGCTGTCACAGCGACGTGAATGCTGCCTGGCTGCTCTGGGAAGCGGTTAACTGGCAGAATCACAGTCCAGCTCTCGCACCCGGAGCTCTGTAATAGGGACAGTGAGGGTGACTGTCCAGCTCAGGATGCGAGCGCTGGAGAAGGAAGTAGTAAAGTGACTCCGAGTGATCTCTGACTCCTGGGCACCGGGACACCTGCATCGCCCAGGACCCGTTCTCATTTCTGACGACATCTCAGCGACACGGCCAACATATTAATCGGCTCTGCTGAGCAGCCGGTCGCGGTGACCGTCACCACTGGGGGGAAATGAGCCCGGCTCCCGGGCAGCCGGCGTGCGGCCCCACCGATTACATTTCAATCGCTGCCCTTCCCCGAAGCCGGGCGGGGTGGCGGCGCCTGGACGCGGCGTCCTTTGTAGACGCAGCTGGCGCCGAGGCCGCCCGCTCCCGCCGCCCGCCTGCCGCTCACCTGCACATGATCTCGTGGGTCAGCAGCACGCGGCACATCTCCGGGTTCTTGTCCTGGCCCTCGTAGACGATGGCCTGCGCGGGGACAAGCAGAGGCGGGGGTTACCAGGCGCCCTTGGCTTGGGCGCCCGGGCGCTGCGGTCCTCACCGGCGGCAGGTGCGCGGTCCACCCACGCCCCCCCCGCTCCCGGCGGGGTCACC